ATCATCGCTACTTTCAAACGCAAAATCATTCTGCTGAAATCAGCCGCATCATTAATTGCAAAGCCTATCCATGTTTATTCAGCTTCAGTCGCATTATTTGGCGAGAATGTGAATGGCACCCAAAAAAACTTAACCATAAGCATTAACTTTTCCATGACCACGAACCCGTTTTTATGGAGAATGTTTGTTAACCGATTTTGAGCGCAGCAGCGACACTGAAACTATATAGATGACAATATTTACAGAAGTTGCACAAATTTAATGAGGATCTTCGCTTTTATTAATAAATTAGTAATCAGTGCGCGTGTTGTCCCAGTTAATCAAGCTGCACAGCCTTAAGCATCAGACGTGACCAGCGATGAAAGACGTTTTCGTTACCTGCTACGTTTAACTTATTCCAAGTAGCGTTATGGATGCGTCTATTAAGACTCTGTTTGTCCTTATCTGAAGGTGTCCCGCAGGCACGTCAGGAGTAAAGCTTCGAGAGATGGCCTGAGCATTTCCAGAATCTGCTCAACGGGTGCCTAGATATATTGCTGACATGTAGTGGGCAGATGTCAGAGAAAGTGAGCTCAGTCAATTGACGGCTTCTCTATGTAACAAAACTGCGAAAGCTGCTCTCTGCTCTCTGCCTTAACGCCCAGAGGTTCAAAGGTTATTACGAAACCATCTGGAACCCCTCTTATCTACAAATCGAATAGGAAGGAGGCGCCTTTCAGGAGATTGACTAATTTATATATCTTGGTTCCGTTGTCTCTAGGAATGGCACTATCCAGCCAGAGTCAAATAGGAAGATCGTCATAGTTTAAAGTGCTTTTGAAAATCTCTCTAATATTTTGGCGGAGAGAGGACATACTGTTTCAACGAAATCGCCTGTACCTTTTGCGTCGGTCAAATCGCATTTGTACGGCACGCATACAGTATTCTATGGAAGGATCAAGAACGACAGTTGAACTGCGTTTGCTTCAATGCATAATGAAAGCTAAATGGCGGGATCATTTAAGGACTTACCGTATTCACTTCAGGGCAGAGATAACCTCGGTAGATGGGGAGATTAAGAAACTGAGGCTGGCCTTATAAGATAAACTGGTTGAGCATACACCATTTACTTCAGCCCATCAGTTTCTTGTGTGACAGCCGAAACACGGCAGAGACGTCGACAAGGTCCGGGGCCACCATGCAAATGTGGAGGCCACCATGTAGAGGCAGATCAG